AAAAAAAAAAAAAAAAAAAAGGATAGACCGAACCCTAGGACACATGGTAAAAGCAAAGCTATACAGACAAAATCTCACACAGAAGCATACACATACACACTCACAAAAAGAGAAAAAGGGGAAAAAAATAATAAATCTTGCTCTCAAAGTCCACCTCCTCAGTTTGGGATGATTTGTTGTCTATTCAGGTATTCCACAGATGCAGGGCACATCAAGTTGATTGTGGAGGTTTAATCCGCTGCTTCTGAGGCTGCTGGGAGAGATTTCCCTTCCTCTTCTTTGTTCGCACAGCTCCCGGGGTTCAGCTTTGGATTTGGCCCCGCCTCTGCGTGTAGGTCGCCTGAGGGCGTCTGTTCTTCCCTCAGACAGGTCAGGGTTAAAGGAGCAGGTGATTCGGGGGCCCTGGCTCACTCAGGCCGGGGGGAGGGAGGGATACGGAGTGCGGGGCGAGCCTGCGGCGGCAGAGGCCGGCATGACGTTGCACCAGCCTGAAGTGCGCCATGCGTTCTCCCGGGGAAGTTGTCCCGGGATCCCGGGACCCTGGCAGTGGTGGGCTGCACAGGCTCCCGGGACGGGAGGTGTGGATAGTGACCTGTGCTCGCATACAGGCTTCTTGGTGGCGGCAGCAGCAGCCTTAGCGTCTCATGCCCATCTCTGGGGTCGTGTGGGTACATTTTGTTTAAAGCAAATTATACCTCAATAAAGTTGATTTAAAAATACTGTTCTTAAACATGATTCAGTCCATTCTACATTATAGGACAATCTACTCAGAACACCGGCCACTAATGCCAACTGAAAAGGTCTGTCTCATAGCTCTTGGCTGATTTCCATTGCCCATAGCCATTCATCTACTGCAGCTTTGTTGAATTCAGACAGACTTCTGCTCACATTGCTCCATACCTGCACATATGGATTCACGAAAAATTCTGAAAGACTACAGCCTCTTGTACACATTACTTTTAAAGGTTCTTTCTGAGTTATACCTTCCTTAACATTTCTATTTGTGTCTTTTACACCATCTTAAATGTATTGTATCATCGTCAGTCCTCCCTCTTTTTAGCCTTGTTGCTTTTCTTAGGTTTAAAATCCTCCAATATATTTTGAGTGGGAGGCACTTGGAAGGGACTAAGGCATAAACAGAGGAAAGCGAGTCTCCCAGGATAGGGACAGCTGCCTCATTTTATAACTGAGCACGGTTCCCGAGTCACTGAATCAGAGATAAATAATAAATGGAGATTCCAAACCTCTTCCAGTTATCTTCCGGGTGGTGTGTTTGCTGTGAGATCATTTGTAGGGTGTCTCATTTCAGCTCTCTTGGCTTGTTATTGTTGGGATTTCTTACAGATTCTGGTAATGGCTTGGTTGTCTGTCTCATTTCCCAGGCTTCCTCTGAGCTCTGATGTCTTACTGAGTCTTTGTAAGTATTACAATGGCATATTTTGAGATATTAATATGTGGGCTGCTAACTAGATGCCATTTTACACTGGCAAATCCACTTCCACTTCCTTTTGAGGATTCTCTTTAGGGAGGGTTGCATTCTTCAGCAAGATTTATTCTAACCTAAATGTATGCTGTTTGGTTCTGATTTTGTCAGCTTGGAAATCTCTACTTGCACTTGCCAGCTCTCTCACTGTCATTTCTAATCAACCTGATACTTCTTTCAATGCCTGTATCTGTGTAATTACATTAATAAGATGATGTCCTATGGGATTTCATCTATATTCTATCTTGAAAGTGAAAAATCTTGTAAGCCCCTATTTCTCTTGAAACCACTTTCAAAGGATTGATCATATGCATATCTTCCTAGACTTTATCAGCTTATAAAACACCTGCTACAATGAAACTGACACTACCTTCACTTTGCAGAGCAATAATTGGCTTTCTTTGAAAAATCTAACCCAATTCTTTCCAACTTATTTTAGATAAAAGGAAAGTGTATTTAGAAAAGTGTATGTACAGGCGAAATGTAGAAAGATGTAGGTAAAGTTGAGTTTGTACATATGGAAAAGTGGGCTTTTCACCTAATCCTTTAACCACTAGAGAAATGTTCTCCGATTTCAAGATTTCACGTTTGACCCCAGACCTCCAGGATTAGAACATCTATGGGTGGGAACTTGTAATCTGAATTGTTCATGACCGCCCTAGCCCATAAGTTTCTGATGCACATGTGTTTAGTCCACAGTTTGAAATTTTTCCCATAGTTAGATGATCCAACCGGAGTGAGTTCTATCATATGCAAAATAGAAGTGGAGTACTTCTATTCATGATCCAGTCAATGTTGCCAAAACTCTACATTTTTTTTAATGTAATAAAATGATAACATATTTTCCCAGTAAGCAGACTTAGCAAAGAGTTCCAAGAATTTGGAGTAGTAAGAGATGACTCTATTCCATTAGGGGCAATATGTCACAAAGTCCATGAATTTTTAACTGGGAGAAAAATGCAGCCATGAGCATTTTTGTTTTTAATTAATAAACTTTGGTATTTAACAGGAGTATTTATCTGTTTTCCCTTAGATATTTTTTTTCTAGCTGAAAGTGGAATGTAATATAGAACAGTGTGGGCTGGTGAAAGGTAAGGCAGGAAATGAAACTAGAGCTAATAACCAGAGAACTGAGAAGTGATCCATTGTGAAGCATCATAAACAATAGAAACACTACATTCAAGACATTTGGAGCTACCATCGTTTAGGGTGAACAGCACTATCTAAGTTCCTGAAAAAATAACTCCATAATATCATAGACAAAAACAGATTCTGGTAATGGCTTGGTTGTCTGTCTCATTTTCCAGGCTTCCTTTGAGTTCTGATGTCTTAACTGAGTCTTTGTAGGTATTACAATGGCATATTTTGAGATATTAATATGTGGACTGCTAACTAGATGCCATTTTACACTGGCAAATCCACTTCCACTTCCTTTTGAGGATTCTCTTTAGGGAGGGATGGGACCATCCTTGCAAAGGATGGTCCAGAATAATATAAAAAGTTGAAATTATGTTCAGGGTCATCTAGTAACGATGTTTTCACTTGCCTTATTACACTTTTGGAAAAAGAAAAATCTTCCTAAATAGATTCTGTTAAGGCTAGATCTAAAGAAAGAGAAGAAAAAAATGCTAAAAGAGAAGAGAAGAAAAAAATACATTTATGCAAAAGCAATGGCAGTTTTGATGCTTTTCTTTATACAACAGTAAAGGGTGTCATATGCCAGTGACCTACTCTGGGAAATCAAGTGAAACAGATTCGGATGTAGATGTGTTTTGGAGGCCTACAGTGGGACATTCAGTTGAATTTCTGCCAGTTTTTGATATCAAATTTTACAAACCGAGTTTCTGCAGAAACTTAGGGAAGAAATGCCCCAGTGACTATGAATGATAGTTTTTTTGACAATCACAAAACATGATTGAGATTTTGCTGACAGAATTCTTAATCTCCATCTATGATACAAGGAAGTAATAGAAATATAGTGATAATGAGTATTAGATATGAACTTGATGCCAGCCACTGGAATAAGTGCTTTAGTATACATTCTCATATTTAATCATCACATTAGTCCAATTATGTATGTATGTATTATTATTCCAGCTTTACAGGTGAGGAACTGAGATTTAAAGAGATCAGTAAACTTACCTGAGATATAATGGCTTAGTTAAGTGATAGCATCAAGACTGGAACATGTGTTCTTGAACTTCAAATCCTAACTTTTAATTGCTCCATTAGACTCTTACCTTGTATGTGTATGTATATCAACATTTTGTGTATATATTTGATATCTACATTTGTGTTTGCATTTATAGTTATAAATAAGCATTATGTCTCTTTCTGTGATCTTGAACTATCTGTGCTGGCCAAGTGGCAGAAAGCATAGCTTTTTTTTTTTTTTTTCCCAGAAAAATAGATATTCACAGTTACTTGGGAGAGACTATGGAAAACCAAAAGGAAACTCTTGAAAAATTTAGCATGATATGGAATGTAAAGTTTGTGAGGGCAGGGACTTGATTCTTTTCTTTTTTTCTTTCTCTGTTCCCTCACTACTGCAGTATATAGAACAGTGCCTGATACAAAACAGATACTTTATGTCTATATTTGAGTGAATGAGAAAATTCAATAACCAAATAACCCTCAATTTTTCTCTCTCAGAGATCAGTCTTTTTAAGAGTGGTGCATGGAACTGATTCTGACTTTGAAGCTTCTAAGACCATGGGATTTTCTGAAGTCAAAGGACGACTGATTTGGAGGTGACTATTTATTCCTATTCTCTCTTGCTTCTTTAAGACCAAGACTTTGGTGAGGATTTATTAGTTTTCCAAGTAAGACATCCAAATATACTGTGACCTGGTATTTACAACAGGTGCTGATGAGGGATAGGACAGGTTAAAGAACTCTTGGAAACTGAATATTTGAGTTGGAGTATTGGTGATACTATCATTTTTCCTAATTGCTTTAACTCATTTTGAGTTGAAACTAATTTTGTAAAATACTTTATTATCTTTCGTAAACTAAGTCAATGTCATAGTGATGTGTGTGTGTGTGTGAGTGTGTGTGTTTTTAATAAATGCCTCTAGATCTCCATAGGAAGAGAGACAAACAAACAATTGCCTTGTAGGTTACTGAAAACCAGTTCTCATCATTCAGAATAGCTTGTGGCTGCTGACATCGTACATGCCATGGGCACAGACTAAAGAGGAAAAGAAGAATAGTGGAGAGATTATTAATGTAGGGACATACCTTCTGATAATGCCTCAAGAACGAGGGAAGCCTTTGCTTCAATGTTCTATAAACCTCTTTATCAATGGGAAGTTTGGTGCTAATAAAAACCAAGCTTTCAGATTTCCTGAGTCTCATTCACACAGTTTGGAGACATCAGACTCTTTCCAAAAATACTCTCTACTCCGTGGCTGTGGGTTTACCTACATTAGAGAAGGCTGGCTCAGACTGTGAAAATAGAGTTCGAGGGTTTGGACCTCCCTGGTGGCACAGTGGTTAAGAATCCGCCTGCCAATGCAGGGGTCACGGGTTCGATGCCTGGTCTGGGAAGATCCCACATGCCACGGAGCAACTAAGCCTGTGCACCACAAACACTAAGCTTGTTCTCTAGAGCCCAAGAGCCACAACTACTGAGCCCGTGCGCCTAGAGCCCATGCTCTGCAACAAGAGAAGCCACCTCAATGAGAAGCCTGTGCACCGCACCGAAGACCCAACACAGCCAAAAGTAAAGAAATAAATAAAAATTAAAAAAAAAAAGGATATGAGGATTTGTTTATTTAATAAATATTTTTAAAATAAACACCTTGTTACTGACAAGGAAACATGTGGATTAGTAGTAAGACCTGGCATGATTTTGCTTATAAGTTTTTTTCTGAAAATGTCCTCATTGAATGTGTTTTCCATTAAAAAAATTACTAAGACCATCAACGTGCCAAGAAATTTGTCAGTTTCTAATAAGAAATGAAAAAGTCAAAAAACAGATGTCATTGCATCATTGTTGTGCAAAGCGTGGTCCTCTCTCAGAATCACCTGGGGTACTCTCTCCAAATTCTAGACTCCCTGCTCTCACATCCCACAAATCCCAGAGAATCCTGTGGGCTCTACTTTCAAAATATATTCATAACGTAGCCACCCCTCATCACCTCTACCCCCACCACCCTGGCCCAAGCCACGTCATCTCACACACTTGTTCTCCTACGGACTGTTCTGATCGCTGTGCTGAGGACTTAGGTCAAGTCATGTCACTCTTTTGTCCAAAACCCTAAAGCCTCCCATCCCAGAGTGAAAGCCAAAGCCCGGATGCTAGTTAAAGTTACAGTCAGCAATCAAGTATGGTAGTTTCTTGTGTCACTCTGGTGGGTTTTCCTCAGTGACTGCCAGCAACAGATCCACAGAAAAGGAAACCCCGATAATTTTGGCTACAGTGGATGTTTTATGATTAGCTCTTTTCAAACTACATCTTGTCATGTTTAAACAACATATTCAATCACATAATACAATCCCTAAAATTTCCTCTTAAGAATAATTTCCTCTGCCCACATCTCTTCATCACTCTAGCCAAATATATACGACTCTACTGCCAGTAACTACCGCCTGCACCTGCTGTTACCACCGCCCACAACTACACCATCACCATCACCACCACCTCCAATTACAACTACCTTCCCCACTGACACCACCATGACTAACACAGCGGCTGCCCCCGCAAAAGTCACCATTATCTTCCCCAACTGCCACCCTCACTACCACCACCACCCACAATGACCACCTGTAACATCACTAGTACCCATAACTGTCACCACTAACCCCACTCCCCCAGCAATTAACGCTGCCTCCATAGCTAACATCCCCTCCAAGCTGACAGCACTTTTGCTTAGGAAAAAGTGAGTGATTGATAGAAACTTTTGTGAAAACGTTGGGAAAAATATTCCAGAAAAGTAATGATTTCTATCAATTCCGAATATCACTGGTCTACTTATGATCTTTTTTTTAAATTTGAATTTTATTTATTTATTTATTTTTTATATGGCAGGTTCTTATTAGTTATCTGTTTTATACATATTAGTGTATATAGGTCAATCCCAAGCTCCCAGTTCCTCCCACCCCCCACTCCCCTAGCTTTCCCCCCTTCGTTTGTTCTCTATGTCAGTGTCTCTATTTCTGCCTTGCAAACTGGTTCATCTGTACCATTTTTCTAGGTTCCACATATATGCGTTAATATACGATATTTGTTTTCCTCTTTCTGACTTACTTCACTCTGTAGGACAGTCTCTAGGTCCATCCACGTCTCTACAGATGACCCAATTTCGTTTCTTTTTATGGCTGAGTAATATTCCATTGTATACATGCGCCACATCTTCTTTATCCATTCATCTGTTGATGGACATTTAGGTTGCTTCCATGACCTGGCTATTGTAAATAGTGCTACAGTGAACATTGGGGTGCATGTGTCTTTTTGAATTACAGTTTTCTCTGGGTATTTGCCCAGTAGTGGGATTGCTAGGTCATATGGTTTTTAGTTTTTTTAGTTTTTTTATTTAATTAATTAATTAATTTTTGGCTGTGTTGGGTCTTCGTTTCTGTGCGAGGGCTTTCCCTAGTTGCAGCGAGCGGGGGCCACTCTTCATTGCGGTGTGCGGGCCTCTCACTGTCGCGGCCTCTCTCGTTGCGGAGCACAAGCTCCAGACGTGCAGGCTCAGGAGTTGTGGCACACGGGCCCAGTTGCTCCGCGGCATGTGGGATCCTCCCAGACCAGGGCTCGAACCCGTGTCCCCTGCACTGGCAGGCGGACTCCCAACCACTGCACCACCAGGGAAGCCCCTGTTTTTAGTTTTTTAAGGAACCTCCCCTCCATACTGTTCTCCACAGTGGCTGTACCAGTTTACATTCCCACCAACAGTGCAAGAGGGTTCCCTTTTCTCCACACCCTCTCCAGCATTTGTCGTTTGTAGATTTTCTGATGATGTGATCTACTTATAATCTTATTGCTGATAAATCGATGAGTAACAAAACACATCTTATAAAATTACAAAAGGGATGCCGTACTTTTGTTACATAAATTTTGGCATTCCCAAGTGCAAAATGATAACTCTGTTGTTACTCTTAAAAGTTTCTGACTCTTCTCCCATGTTAGTCGTACACCATAAATAGGCTCCTAACGTATGCTGAGTTCATTCAGACTTGCCCAGGGAGAAGTAGAGTTACATCCCAATACATTTTAATAATAGAAAATGAATTTCCATGAAAAATATAACGTTCGTTTGAAACTTTTGGCACATCTGAAAATTTTATCTCCTTTGAAAGAACATGGGAACATATTTCTTTCTTTCTTTTTTTAATTGAAGTGTAGTTATTTTACAATGTTGTGTTAAGTTCTGTCAGCAAAGTGATTCAGTTATACATATACATATGTATATACATACATTCTTTTTTTTAAATTCCTTTCCACTGTGGTTTATCATAGGATATTGGATATAAGCAGATTTTCTAAAAAAAGTACTCTGAGAGCTTCCTAGAAAATGCGTTGCATAGTGAAGGCTTTGTTTCCAATTGGTGCTTGTTCTGACTCAATTTTTGGATCCAGATTATGTTTTCATTAGGTTGATCAAGTGTGTGTTTTCTTACTTTTCCTTAGAAGAAGGCATTGATTACAGTCGGCTTTTACGTAATTATGAAGTTGAAAGCTTCAGCATTTACAATTAAAGAAAAGCCTGCTACGTAATAGTTTTACTGACAGAGACTCTGGATTATTAACTGCCCACTCCGCAGCTTTATTGACGTAGAATTGATAAGTAAATACTGTACATAGGTAAGGTGTATAGTGTGATGATTTGACATTAGCTTTGATGGAATGCCTGAGCTGGAGAGAGGGATAAAAGAGGCGGCCTCTATCGTGAGGACAGATTGACATGGTGACCTTCTAATAAGGGAAAAAAGCCAGGGGAAATCAGGCAGAGGGCCTTGTTAAGCATAGAGGGTTTCCCTGGCACCTTTTGAGCATGTGGGGGATTCCGCGGCCCGCTACCCTATTTATATATTCCTGCTGTGTCGTTAGTGCCAAAGGAAAAGACTTGCCTAATTTCCCACCCATTAAATAATTCTTCATTGCAAAATTGAATCAGGAGAAGGGAGATTTTATATCTGTTTTTGTTGCCTTCAAACAGTTTTATGCACATAAATACTTTGGAGATTGGATACCCCTCTTAGGAAAGAGAACGTTTATTTTGTAGTTGTATATAAAGCACTCACAAAGGACATCATGCATGCAGTTCTCGGAAGTTTTTGCAAACACCAAAGAATGTGACAGCTACTGCTCAACATCTTTCAGCTGTGATTATACCAGGTTACCTCCCAAACACCCTTTTTTTGTTTTACTTTTTGGCTGCGTTGGGTCCTCATTGCTGCACGCGGGCTTTCTCTAGTTGTGGCGAGCGGGGGCTACTCTTTGTTGTGGTGCGCGGGCTTCTTGTTGTGGTGGCTTCTCTTGTTGTGGAGCACGGGCTCTAGGCACGCGGGCTTCAGTAGTTGCAGCACGTGGGCTCTAGACTACAGGCTTAGTAGTTGTGGCGCACGGGCTTAGTTGCTCCATGGCATGTGGGATCTTCCCGGACCAGTGTCCCCTGCATTGGCAGGTGGATTTTTAACCGCTGTGCCACCAGGGAAGTCCCCCAAACACCCATTTTTACATGTACAAGTCAAATGATTTTCCCAAGCTAAGCTGTCTGCTGATTTTTCCAGGGATTGATGAACTTCTTTAAACGTCTATAATGAGTACTAGTGACCTATAATTTCAGGGAACTTGAAACTACCTGAGTATAATTGCTTTAAAAATGCCTGCTACTGTCCAGTTTGAACAACCAGCCTGTCACAAACAAACCACTGTCAATCCATTATAAAAGGAAAACCCCTCTCCTAATCGAGAATCCAGGAACAGTGTCAAGGAGTGGAGTTTTGATTGTATAGAGAGCTATTGATGGCTCTGATTTGGGTGTGTGATAGGTGAATCACTTCACTTCCCCATCCTCTGTTACCTAATCTCCCGAGGAGGGGCGTGGATGACATTATCTCTAAAGCATTTTTTACTTCTAACTTATTGTTAGTTAAGTAAGTCTGATCTGAAGGGCACTCAGAATGGATCATGTAGAAGGCACGTGCTTCTACCTTTTGGCTATTATGAATAATGCTGCTGTGAATACGGATGGACACCCATCTCTTGAGACTCTGTTTTTAATTGTTTTGGGTATGTACCCAGAAGTGGAATTGCTGGCTCAGATGGTAATTCTATTTTTAGTATTTTCTGAGGAACCTCCAGATTGTTCTCCATAGTGGCTGCTCCGTTTTACATTCCCACCAGTAGTGCACAAAGGTTCCAATTTCCCCAAATCCTGGCCAGAACTTGTTATTTTCTCTTTTTTTTGGTAGTAGTCATACTAATGGGTGTGAGGTGATATCCCATTGTGGTTTTGATTTGCATCTCCCTAGTGATTAATGATGTTGAGCATCTTTTCATGTGCTTATTGGCTGTGTCTTCCTTGGAAAAATGTCTACTTAAGTCCTTTGCCTGTTTTTTATTTGGGTTATTTTTTGTTGAGTTGTGGGATTTCTTTGTATAGTCTGGATGTTAACTCCTTTTCAGATACATGGT